GATCGGAGGCTTTGGCTCTGTAGACGAGGACGGGGCCGGCCAGCGGGGCCGGCTGCTTGAAGGTGGCCCCATTTAGCTCCCGCAGCACCGGGGTGCTGCCCTGCACTGTCCCCGTTGCCCGGTGCGGAGTGCCCTGCAGGGCCACCTGCAGCAAGCCAATGCTGCTGTCAGGCTCAGGGGCCACGTCGCTGTGGGTGGTCGTGACCTGCCGGTGAGATGTGGACACTCAGCATCTAAGTGCTGCACGTGGCAGGGCGCAGGGAAGGGATGTCCTCAGAGGCCACCCCAGGGGATGCTCCCTCCAGCCTAAGAGGTGCATTAGCAGCCCCATGGGGTGACCCTGGACTCGTGCTGCTTGGCAGGGAAGAACAGGATCTGGGTGCACCAGGCTGATGTGTGGAGCCCAAGGTGTCCACGCACCTTCAGCCCAGCCTCCTGGGCCAGCAGCAGGGCGTTCACCAGGGTCACCTCCTTCTGTGCCCCTCCGGCCAGCATGCCCGCAGCCACAGCAGGCGTCAGGTAGTTCCCAGCGTCCTGCAGGGGTGTCCCTGGGGTGCAGGGAGGAGGCAAGGGGTGGATGGGCCGGCAGCAGAGAGGTCAGCCCCATACTGGAGCAGCCATCCTGGGGCTGGTCCTTCCACCTAACCCATCCGCACACCTACTTCTACTCCCATCTTCCCTCCCATCCCTGCAGCCATCCATATACCCATCCGTACCCCCATACCCCCATCCTCCCATCCAACCACCCTCCTGTCTATCCCTCCACCTGGTTGTGCACCCATCCCTCCTCCCATCCGCTCAGTCCAGTCGGTCCCCACGTGCCCCTGTGTGCTGTCCACCCACGGGGGTCCCTGTGCCCGGGCACGGGGCGCAGCCTGCCCAGCTCACCTAAGGTGCAGACCTGCACGCTGCCCTGCGCTTTCTTGCCCGCCGTGCGCAGCACCGTGCCCAGGGCCCTGGCCAGGGCTATCCAAGGCTTGGTTTGGGGTGCGAAAGCCTTGCTGAGAGCCTGCCCGTTGACCTGCGAGGAAGATCAGGATGCACGGTGGCAACCCACCAGAGAGCACGCAGGATGACTCCCAATGCACCCACAGTTTAGGGACAGGGAACCTGAGGCACAAGAGGTCAGGTGTTCGGTGGGGAGGACTCACTATGCCAGCCAGCCCCTTCCCCGTGGCCATGTCCACGATCTGCATGGCGATCTCCTTGCCGCAGCGGCTCTGTGCCTCCCGCGTGCTGGCGCCCAGGTGCGGGCAGCAGATGACGTTGGGGTGGTTCACCAGGTCACGGTCCTTGGGGGGCTCCTGTTGACACAACCCCGTCCCACTGTCAGCCTCCAGCACCCACCTGGGAGCCCCGGGGTGGGCATTTACACCTTCTTCCCTTGCAAGGAAGGAGCTGGGAAGGGCTGTCCCTGGCTCCATGGGGTTTACAGAGGCCCTGGCCCTGCTTGGGCAGCGTTAAGGTGACGCCAAGCCAGAGCTAAGCTCAGGGGGTCCCCATGGGCCCCCTCACCTGTGTGAAGACATCGAGAGCGGCCCCGCCACACTGTCCCGACTGCAGCGCCCGTAGCAGTGCACCCTCATCCACGATGCCTCCACGGGCGCAGTTCACCACCTGCACACCGCGGCGGCACTTGGCGAAGGTGCTGTCATTCAGGAGCCCTGCGGAGAGAGGGAGAGCCGTGAGCAGTGAGGGACCGCACTGTTTCCCCCCAAGTCCGTCCCCCCCGTGCCAGTGCCCACCCCGTACCCGTGGTGGAGGGCAACAGCGGCGTGTGCACCGTGATGAAGTCGCAGCGGGGCCACATCTTCTCCAGCGGCAGCTGCTCCACGCCGAAGGTGGCCGAGGTTTCAGGGGTGATGATGGGGTCGTAGCCTATGGTCTGAGGCAGAGCGGGCACTTGCTCCTGCAGCCTGGCACGGTGCTGGCAGCTGGGCCAGGGAGGGTCCAAGCTCCCCATCGCTCCTCCCTGCCCCGGCTCCTTACCTTCATGCCAAAAGCCTGCATGCGGGTGGCCACCTCCCTGCCGATGCGCCCCAGTCCCAGCACGCCCAGTGTCTTCCCGTTCAGCTCCATGCCCATGTACTAGGGTGCAAAGCGGAGAGTGAGCGAGCGCACTCCACAGGGGCACCCACCCTGTGCTGCCCAGGGTGCTTCACTGGCCTCCTACCTTCTTACGGTCCCACTTGCCCTCCTTCATGGAGGCAGCTGCCTGCGGGATTTGCCTGAAAGGGGAGGCTGGGAGGAGCATGGGGGCAGGGGCCTGTGGGGCTCACATCCGTCCCCCTGTCCTGCCCCACACTCACCTGGCCAAAGACAGGATCATCCCGCAGGTGAGCTCGGCGGCACTGAGGCTGTTCCCAGTGGGTGTGCTGGGGATGGAGAGTGGTGTCACTGGTGTGTCACCCCCAGGCTGATGGAGGTCTGCACCCCGTGAGGATGGAGACCCACAGGGTGGTGGCCTGGGGTGCCCTGGGTGGGGAGGGCACCCTGCTGAAGCCTCCCCTGCCTCCCTAGGAGCGCAGGCAGGGATGTCCCCATGCTCCTGCTCTTACTTCATGACCAGGACGCCCTTCCTGGTGGCTGCCTCCACATCGACGTTGTCCACGCCGGTGCCCGCTCTGCCCACCACCTGCAGCCTCTCCGCCGCCTCCAGCACATCAGCCGTGACTTTGGTGGCCGAGCGGACGCTGAGTCCATCGCAGTCCTGGGGGGGGGGGC